ATCTGAATTTGAAAAAAGTAACATTGATAGTGCAGACTAGTTAGCTCAGTTGGTTAAAAAACAGTCTTATAACACTAAGGTCATGGTTTGGATACCTGAACTGGCCAGCCACCAAAAAAAAAAAAAGATATTAAACATTAAACATTTAATATATATGTTTCAGTTTTTAGCAAGGCAAAGTTTACCTTTCAGAGTATCATCCAAGAAACTTTATAAGCATGATAATGAAAATATTTTCATTTGACAGAAACCATAGAAAAATGTGATAACATTACAGCAGAATATTTATACAGAATATTAATATCAACACCAAATGTCACATATTATTGTTGGTGGAAATAAAAAATCCAAACAATTAAATGTTAGCAGATGTGAATATTGACATTAAACACATTTTTGGTATATTGCACACTAAAAAAAAAAAAAAATCAACCAAGAAATAATCTGAAAGGACGGAAATATGAAAATGCCCCATATACACATGGAACACATAATAGATGATCAGAGTACAGCACTGAAAAAACTTCCAGGGCATTTTTATATTCCTTGTTCTGCATATTCTTTAAATTTGGTAGTGAATGATACTCTTTTGAGCAAAAACCTCTTTTGATACTCCTATAATTTTTACAAAAAATTTTTCAAAACAATTGAATCAATGCCATCAGATCCAGCATATATGCTCTCTTAGACAATGCTATAATATTAATTAGAGTTTAATAATGAAAGCCAAAGATACACATTTGAAAATAAACTACTTTTTTAGCCACATTCCAAATCTTCCTCTTTTTCATTTTTTTAATAATTTTGTAGTTGACACGTAATAATTGTACATATTTATGAGGTGCAGAGTGATACTTCGACACATGCATACAATGTGTGATGATCAAGTCAGGGTAATTAGCATATCCATCACAACAGACATTTCTCATTTCTTTGTGTTAAAAATATTTGAACTACTCTCTTCTGCCAATTTGAAAATATACAACAAATTATTGTGAATTATAGACACCTAGCACTGCTATAGAACACTAGAATTTAAGTACATTTCCTTTCTAGCTGTTTGTATGTCAACCAATGTCTCCCTATCCCCACTCTCCACCTTTCCCAACCACTAGTAACCACTATGCTACTCTCAACTTCTATGAGTTAAACTTTTTTAGCTTTCACATATAAGTGAGAACACGCACTGTTTATCTTTCTGTGCCTGATTTACTTCACTTAACATAGTATTTTCCAGGCTCATCCATGTTGCTGTAAATGACAGAATTTCATTCTTTTTTATAGCTGAGTAGTATTGCACTGGGTCCATATTACACATTTTCTTTATCCATTCATCTGTTGATAGACGCTGATGTTGATTCCGTATCTTGGCTATTGTGAATAGTGCTGCAATAAACATGGGGGTGCAGGTATCTCTTCAATAAACTGATTTCCTTTCCTTTGGATAAACACCCAGTAGTGGCATTGCTAGATCATATGTTAGTTCTATTTTTAGTTTTCTGAGGATCCTCCATACTGTTTTTCATAATGACTGTACCATTATGAGGAAGACTGTAATTTTACTATTACAACTGTTTAAGATCATAGACATTTGTAGCTTACCCATGAATGGTTAAAATATGAGTATTAAATCTGTGAATCTTAAGGTCCCTTGCACAGTGCTATGTAAAGATGGTGTGTTTACGTCTGACTGTGGATGATATCAATCAGGATATATTCCATAGGAAGTAAGTGAGTTGGATTTGAACAATAAGCAATTTTTGGAAGGTAACAAATGGTGGGGTGAGTATTGCTAATAGATGCAAAAGAAAAAGCAAAACACTCACTTTGTTTTTTTATAGAGGAAAATGATCTTCAAAGTAGAAAAGTCTACAATAAAATGATTAGGAGGAAAATAAAAACCAAGGAAGAGTAAGAGCAAACTTAGATACTTCAAATGAGTTCAAGTCAACAGGCCCAGGGAAATTACATCCCAGCAAACCAAAAGACCTTGCCAATGTGATCACAGAAACACTTCTGCTTACCTATGAAAAACTGTGAAGAATTGGAAATGTCCCTAGAGACCTGCAAATATTGACCCAATTTTCACAAAAGAGAGTATGTTTAAAACACTGTAGGCTGTAAAACTTAATGTGAATCTTGGGGAAAGTTCTATATTATATATTATTAGAGATGGTTTGTGAGAACTATAGAAATGGTGACAGTATACCAGCGTGCTGTCTCTTTCCTGTCCAACATTTTCATCAAAGACTTCAAAACAAAGAATGCATAATTACCAAATGTGCAGATAAGATAAATTAGAAGAGATAACTAACATAGATGAAAGATCACTATTCCACGATAAGAACAAATATAACAATGTAAATGTAAAGCCTGTACTTAAAAAGAGAAATTGTACCAGTACAAAAAACAAGTATGATCCGGTCCAATAGCTGCAGTTCATATAAAAAAAAAGTCCTGTGAATTTTATTTGGTTGATTACAAAGCCAACAAAAAAGATTGCAATATAAAGCTTCTAAAACAACTGATGCAATCT